AAGAGTGTTGTTTACACTTCAGCCTCTTGGATGGTACAGAATAAACTTGTATTTCCCTGTTTGGTTGTCAGATAGTGACACCACTGCATGTAGATTACAAAGTCTGCAAGAACTTGGTTTTAGATGGAAAAGATTTATAGGTGTGTGTTTTGTGTAAACATAAAGCACATGAATATAGAAACCCATATTGAGAACTTCCTTTTTAATCTCTGTTTATATTGTTCTGTACCCTTTTTCAGGATAGTTTGAATTACACGTGTGTAGCTACAGTTACTTATGCTCTGAATATACAGGGAAGACTGTGATGAAAGCATGAATGCTTAGCAATTTAAACATTATGGTAACATAACATGCCTCTTGAATGCAAATTCTCAAGGCCTAAGACAACAGCATCTGATAGATTTCACTGAGTATCTTACTTCGAGATGTAAAGGACAAAAATGTGAAAATAATATAGCATGGCAGAAATCAGAAAGTTCTATTTCTTTGTTCAATAGAGAAGCTCTCAATCTTATTTGGTAAAATCTGTTTGTTCCTTAACTAACAGGTCTCATCAAAATGCTTTCTTTTCTAATGTAAGTAAGAACATCCATATTCATAGTTTTCTATACCACTCCTTATCTGAAAGCTGAGTTCTGCTGAGGCAGAGAGAAAAATTCTGTAGCTTAATTTTATGCAGCGTTTTTTGAATAGAGTGAGGAACCTATTAAATAATCTCAGGCTTTTATGTGGAGCTTTTCTTTTGCATTCTTGGTAGGCTTTGGATTCTCTTAATTGTTGGAAATTGTAGATGGTTTACATGATGCTATCTTGGTATAGCGCTAAAGAACTAGACATACCTTTTTCTAATTTCTGATATGTGATACTATTCCTGTCTTTTTTGTCCTTTTTATTTCAGGGTAAGAGAACCTGGGCAAGATCTATGAGGAGTTGTAGTTAGGCCCTTGAGAACTGCAATCAAGAAGCACATGTACTTTACCATAAAATTTAAATTGTTCATATCAACCTCTTTGTGGATTCTGAGCATATGTAATACTAGCCGATGCAGAGAGAATGTAAAGAGCTTTCCTTGAGTAGCCCAAGGTCTCTGTAAGAGGTTAAGCATTGCTCAGGATTTCATTATGCTGTTTTCGAGGCCAAGTTTGGGAAACCTGAATTAACACCACTTTGGTCCAAACTAGACTGCTGATAGGAAATAATACAATGTATTGTGTGGGTAATAAATATAATCACTTTTCTAGATTTCAGTCTCCATTATTTTCAATTTTTCAGAAACATGTTTCCTTTTGAACTTTGACAGAAAACATTGTAAGGATTCCTAATGTGAATTAGTGGGTAGAGAAAAAGGTACATAATGATACAGTGATAAATTAATTACGTTGTCATGATTTTTTTCTTATCTCATTTCAGTGATCTGCTAGAAATTTAGGATGAGGAAATAGTGCTTCCTGTGCAGTAGGCAGGTTTATATGTGATAGGCAATTAATATGTCTGCAGACAGACCCTTTAAAATCACGAGGAAAGTGGCTGAATTTTTATCATTCCTTATTTCAAAGTCCATCCTCCCTCACCAACTATTCAGCTTTTGTTTCCGCTGTGTGTACCAGCCCTTGAGCATGTGATCCTGTGAGTATTTTATATCTCCTAATTCTGTCAGTCCAGGATTCCCCCATTATCACGTAATGTCAGAAGTTTGTCGGAAGTCAACTGCCCCACTCCAAGCACTTGGTTTGCCCTCACCTGGCAAGAATATTCTTCTGTGGCTCCTGTGGTGCTGGTACAGTGGACTAGGAACTGATGTGTGAGATACTTTCCTGATCCACTGCAAAAGGTGATGTGTGAAATTGTGGGAAGTGATTAGGTTCACACAGTTAATCCATCAAGTTTAATTTTATGGCAGGTGGAGAAGTGGAGAAAAATCCTCCTGGGCTACTCTTTGTGGGGATGATTTAAGCCATCTGATGTTCTTGTCTGGTTCAGTCAATGTTGTATGTCTGTTCCATGCAGGCTATCACGATTTGTCATATCTGTGAGGTCATGGGCCACAAGACATTTGCACCATGAAGACCAAAGACCTGATTCTTTCCTAGAACGTATCCGAGGGCCAGAGCTTATAGAGGTGTCCAGCAGGCAAAGTAACATCCGCTCCTTTCTGGGTATCCGTGAGCGGCCTGGGGGAGCAAACAGGTAAGAAGATGTGTTTATACTTTAAAGGAAGACGACTGAGGTTATGGTATTTTCTTGGTGATCGGGATGTAAGCTTTATTTTAAGAAGAGGGTAAGGAGCTTAGCATGGGAGATGAACAGAGTATCTGATGCTGCCCAGGAATCTTCACATAACTGAAGTATTATGGCTTTCAGCAGGCTTTCTCTTTCGCCCTCAAACGTACTGTGGCAAAGATGTTGAAGTAAAGGATTTTGATCATGCTGCTTCAGGCAGAATGGTTTCTCAGAACTGGCATTTTATCATACGCTACCTGTGCAACTTGATGTTGCTAAACTCCTCTCTCCTGAGGACGAATGCAATTTCTATTTCAAGAATCTAGGAGGTTGCTGGTTGTGGCTTTTCAGGGCATTAATGTTATGCACATTATCTGCGAGTGTTAGGCAACTTCAAACAAGCAGTTGTGCAAAATGTGTCATTGCTTTGCTACACCTACTCAGGAGTTCAGCTGCTAACATTACAGAAGGCTTCTGATGCAGAAATGAGAAAATCTTTTGGCTGCTGACTCAACTTATTAGCACATACTCGGCCTTTGGTATGGAAGGCAGGTTCAGTCTTACCTCAAAATTTTTCCAATAAAACAACAGAGGCTTGCACGAGAAACCTTTATGTGTTTACAGCCTTTTGACGTGATGAATTATTATTACTTTATTAATATATGATACAGTGTTTTAAATGTAACTCCAGCTAAAAGAGGAAAATGAAGTCGCAAGACAAAAGTTGACTTTCTGTTTGGCATTATGCTTTGAAGCATAGACTCACATATTTTTTGCATCGTTAAAGATTGGTAGGTAAGCAAGTAATAAGTTGATTTGTTTCAAAATCTCAGCTAGTAATTCGGATTAAAGCAAGAACCTTTGAAGGGCTGCGCATGATACAGGTTACCTTGATTTGTTGTGGTCCAGCACAGCCTTATTATCTTCACTTGATCTACTCCTTAGAAATTCAGCTCAAAAGCACGTTTTGTTGAATTAGCCAGACGGTTGTGTGATTTTTCAGACCTCTGGATCAGTAGCAACTGCAGATTCAAAGTAATTAAGAGAGGACAACATTGATCCTGGGCCAACAAACCTGTATATGAGGCTATTAGAAGAAGTGAATTTGGGAGTATCCATCCTTGCCTTCTCAGTTTTACACTGTTGCCACGTGACAGTAACTCCCAGTTGTTCTATCATGAAGGCTTAATTCTGCAGCAGCGGTAGGTATGCTTGTTACTTATCCGCAAGCCTTGGCACTGCATCTGTGAAGAAGACTTGAAAGGACTGAAGAAAGCTTAAAATAGTAGCCAAATGAGTACAGGGCTAAAAATAGTGAGATGCATGTTGCCATGCACTAACGCGCCTGAGAACAAGCTTCGGGCATCAGATGTGGTCACAAATGTGTATGCCAAGCACATGGTAAAAAGAAACTGGTGCCTTGAAATAGTTATGCAAAGGGGCTTATCACTGCAGTCAAAGTTGACCTTCCTAATCTTATCAGTGCATATGTGAGAAGCTAGTAAGTCAGTCTGTCATGTCGGTAAACGTGTGTATGAAATACCAACGGTCTTTACACTCTTTAATGTGTTTTATTTAACTTGGTGCAGTCACTGGCCCTTGGCCAGGTTTAATGTCAACTATAGCAACAACACCAACGAAGAGTAAGTACTGGTAACTTCCAAACACCTTTTTACTACTAGCTCCTTCTCTTTTTCCCTTTCCAGCCTAGTAACATTTGTAGTATAAACTCCTTATCTCTTCCTAAGCCTTTCCTAAGAATATAGTTTAATTATAAAGAAAGATCTAGTTTTCTTAGTATGAAAAGCATCCTTCATGCTCCCTGTGAACTTCTTTTTGTCTGAAGTAACCCTTACCTCTCAAGGAGTGAATTTGATTAAGCATTTAGTCCCTACCTCCTCTAGTTCAGCTGGCTGATTTTACTGCATTGCCAATTGATTTATTAATTCTTCAGTTTTTAAATGAGATTCATGTATTAATTTTCTAATAGTGATTTTCCTCTTTTAACATACTAGTCCCTTTTTGCAAATCAAGTGCCCCAAAAATTTCAGCTTGTCAAATGAGAAGTGTATACTGATCAGGGTACCAAGAAAACACTCATGTCTAAATGAAAACTAACCATCTTTTTAAAATGTGTGTTTCAGTTCAGCAGATATTGTTGGTGTAGATGTAGAGAGAGTGACAGGCAACATAATAAGGCTTGCATTGCAGCAGAAGCTCTGACAGAAGCTGTCCTTTGGAATCTATTTCATATATTTGACAAGATATTTCACAGTGTTACACCAAAGAGAAATCTCTTTGAAAAGGTGAAGAGCTCCTGTAATTTAAAATCACCCAACACCAATGTTCATTGCATGTCTTAGACCACAGCTATCTGAGGACATACCTGCTTTGTAGTATCCAGCAGCAGATCTGTTCTCACGCATGATGATAGTTAATTTTTTTCATTGCTTTCCAGATGAAAACAAAAATTAAAAATAATCAGGACGGTTTCTGATTATGTCAGAAATACTTTTAGGAAACTCGTTTTTTTCTCCAAATAGTTCCATCGCGGGCGAGCTCAAGCCGTACATTTTAAATGATGCTGCAAAACCTTTGTGCACATACCTGAACAAGAGGTCTTCCTGCTCCTGAAGCAACTTTTTGGTTTGGTTTGCATAACTTTTATTAAAAAGGAAAATCAGTGTGCAGCGAACAGTGACAGAAACGTGCAGAATTTTCCCTAGACTGGTATAAAAAAAGTGCTTAAAAGCCTGGAGCCTAGCCTGCTAGTCAGGGCCCAAAGGACTGATTAGGATGGAAATACTGCTTTTTTACTCTGTTTCTGACAATGACTCACGTACCTTGGGCAAAACTTTCATCCTTCCAGTGTTTCATTATTTTTAAATGAAGACAACACCTGTCTGTCTACCTGCCTGACAGCCTGAAACTTACTTGATTTGCAAAGTACTTGACAGATGAGAAATGCAAATACTTGACTCATTCAAAGACTATGACAGTGTTTTTATAGGGGCTGATGAAGACATGTTTTCTAAGTCTGAGGATGCATGCTCCTTTAATGTGCTGGAAACACAGAGTGGATGCCACTGTACTGCTGTGAAAGAGGACAGGCACAAACAACTGTTTGTTAGTTACTGGATCCCAGTTTACTCAGTAGCACTGATAAAGAAAAAAAGATGCAGGTCTTTTTGAAGCTTTGGGTTTTTCATTATGTTAAAGACCTAAGAGTGCCTGCCCTTGGGGAACTGTAGGTGATGCTTTCAAGTCTTTGATTATGGCCAACCTTTTCCTATGAGTGACTTCCACTGCCAGACTACAAGTAGGTGGGAGTATGGTAAGTTGGGAGTTACCACAATAGAGAGATGAACAGAGGCCACAGAAATGGAAGAATCTCACTTATGGAAGATACCTGTAGTTGACAGATGAGTTTGTAGGAGATCTCAGGCCAGAGAAAAAGAAGTATTGGTATTAGATGCTGTGTGAAGTAATGTTTTTTCTCTTTTTTAAAACAAAATGTAGGAGGAAGTTGGAATTGTCAAAATAGTCCCTCAAAAGTTCACCACCACTGAGACTTTTTGATTGATTCTCTATCTCAACCTACTTTTCCCTGCCTAGCAACATCCACAAATGTACAGTGGCCCTACCCTTTGAAAATTATGTTACTCGTAGTTCTTCCTTTCTGGTAAGAATGCCACACATTTGAAGTATTGAGGAGCTATGTTAATGCTAACAACAGCAACTGTGAATTGGTCTTTAGATCAGGCACCACGCATAGTAACATGCAGTGAACTCTGACATGTTTTTTAAATAGGAAGGAGTTTTTGGGGCAGATTTGAAAGAGAAGCCGCAAAAGTCCAGGGGAGTCAGTGACAGAGACAAATAAATACTTGAGTGGCAGTTCCCACTGCCATGTAGAAATCAGCCTTGGTAAATGAAAAACTGTTTCTTTGAGTTGAGATGCATGTATAAATAGAAGATCAGTCAAACCAAAGGTTCTTTTCTCCTCCACTTATGCTCCCTTGCACTGTATAATTTTAAAGGGTTCAGTGGTGTCAGCTTGGTAGGTATTTCCCTGGACGTGGAGGAGGGTAGGATCTCAGCATTTTGTAGCAAACGAGTCTGGGCTTTTCCAAATTACACTGTGGTGCTGCATCAGTATGGAAATGTCTAAGGGTAAGAATTGGAACAGGTGCTCATTGTGGATAGGTGAAAGCTACTACTATCTTAAAATTGGTGACTGTTGTCTTCTCCCTTGGAGTGCTTCTTTCTCCCTGTAACAAGCACATTTGTAGACAGGACTGCCATTCACAGCATAGGCTTTTTCTGATCTGAGTAATACAAGCAAGTATACATGAAAAGCACAAGTGAGCTCACTGAACTTTTTACCTGTTGGTTCAAAACCTGTAAGCAGCACTTTTTCAACTGTTACTACGTATTCTGTCTTTGCTGTGGGATGTTGCTGTCATTGAACTAATTTGTCCTTTATTGACACCAGTGCAAGGAGAGAATCAGACCCAATCTTGGCAGTTCAGAGGAGAACACGTAGCTCCCATGGGAGCAGGAGTCCATGGCTTTCATCCAAACCAGACTTTAGTTGTGGAGAGTTATGTTTATATATGCATTATACACATACACTGTAGTGTCAGGAACGTTCAGTCTTTTCTGTCTAACCAATGGGGACACTTTCTGCTTCAAGGAATAAAGAAATTTCAAATACAAAACAGGGAGATCTCAGATGATGGACTTTCTGCTTGTGCAAGTAAGTGCAGTTCTTCAGCTTGCATGATTCTTGACCAATGCATGTAGCAAATTTAGCTCTAAGATTAGGTATTGACAGAATCCTAGGAAAGATGTTAACTTTCTGCTGTTTTGAAGACGATGCATGGGCCTATCTGCATAAGTTAACATAGCTCAAGACTCTTCTGTTCAGACAAACCTAAGAATGGGGGAAGTCAGATCCATCTTTATATCTGGCTTATCACATTCTAATGAGCCAAAGGCTTTACATACTTAAACAATATGAAAATCCATATCTGGAATTAAATCTTGCAGCTTGGGTCTGTGCTGGATATATGGAATTGTAGGATATAATTATATTAAATGGTCCATATTTTACTTTATTGCATGAAAAGCGATTAATAAACGTGGGGACAATCATGATTCCATTAAGTCTAGGCAAAATCTCCATTGATTTTAGCAAGGGTGGAACTTCATGCTTAATGCTTATCCTTTGAATACAGTGGCAATCGAATACAGGCAGAGCAACTTGGGCATGGCTCCTCTGATCACGCATAGGCACCTGCATCTGAACTAGGCAATCCATTCTTCCTTTACAGTTGATGAAAAGAAAAAAATGCTTTTGGAGCACAAGTAATCTCGTAGATAAGGACTATGAGATATGGACTATCTTGTAGATACAGTAGATGTCTACTATAGAGGTCTAAAATAGGTTGGCTTAATCAAGTTGACTATAAAGCATTTATAAAATGACTACTATGTAGTTAAATGAGACACACCTCTTTTCTCTGCATTTGCTGCTTTTGTTCGAACATTGACTGGGATTCTTCTTCAAGGCAATTGTTGAAGCCAGAGGTAATTGATTAATTATAACTTTGTTGGTTTTAAAGAACTGTGAGAGGAAATTCAGCCTCATTTCATTTAATTACCATTAAAGCTTCAGACAGTCCCTGTGAGGTTTTGGATATGCAAAGAATGGTGACAGTTTGTTAAGCCATTTCAAGTTCTATTATCGTTTGATAGATTTCTTTTTAAATGCCTGAGTTCTAAAGAGTGAAACAAACTGGAAGCATTTAATTAAAATCAGCCTGGTACACTGATGCCTGAACAGGTCAAGAAAGCGTGGGTGACTAATGCACAGAATCAGCCAGCTGGTTACCTGGTGTAAAGTGTGGTGGTGTCAGTTCGAGAGGCCTCAGCCTGTAAACCATTTTTACCAGTTGGATGAATGGTTCCACTGAGAAACCCTGTCCTACTCTATCCGGAGTCTAGTCTAGTTTCCTGTACCTCAACATCCACCCTCTCCCTTAACTGCTAGAATATTGGTAATATTGCTAAGCCTTATATTATGTTGTACAGCAAAAAGGAAGAAAAGAAAGAGGTTAAAGAGGAGAAAAAAGAGGAAAAGGAGGAAAAGAAGGAGGAAAAGAAGGAGGAAAAGAAAGATGACAAAAAAGATGACAAAAAAGATGATAAAAAAAAGGAAGAGTAAGTATAAAGAATGAATGTGTGCTTGTAACACACTTCCTACACTACAAAGCATGGTGTGGCATTTCACCGTACCGCTTCCACAACAATTACTGTTCTGTAGGCTGCAGAATGTTAGCCTGTCAAATCTTTAATACGTTTTCCTCTTTAGAAAGGTGCAACTGCTCAACAAACTTGTTGCATCTTTAAGACCTGTGTTTAGACCTGTCATGAACAGCTTCCTAGGTCAGTAAAAGGGAATTCAGCTACCCCTGGTCATTTTGATTTGCTGCTGAAGATCACTTTTTTACTATGAGGGCATTTTAGGATAGCAGCCTGCTTTGCAGATCTGCGCAGGCTTTTCATTGTTCCAGGATGTCTATAATGATTCAGAGCAGATGAACCAAAAGTCTGGTCTGGACAAAGAGTGAAAATCTTACATGTAGAAAATGACAGATTTACTAATAAGTTTAGTTATTACACTGACTAGCATATTTAATTACTTAATACAGTGCAGTTCATTACTAGTTATCACTAAAGTTTGCTTTTGCTGGTTAGGAGATGCTGTATTTCTGCAACAAAACGATATCATTTGAATGCTTTTGACAGAAATAGATCCTGCTCTTATTTTGTTCCCCCAAAGCTGACCCAAGCATAGCACAATTTAGTATTACCAGTCATTAAAAATAACAGTGATAGCAGATAAAAGGAGAATGCATTTGAGTGGACTTCACAGTTACAGAGTATGTTAGAGTAATATACTGCAAGTTTATATGTATGTATATGGTGGCATGTGCTATGTAGGCGTTGGGACATGTAGTTGGGAATCGCTTCCAAATGGAATCTGCTTCATCTCAAGGTCTTGACTTTCTTAATCAAAGTTTTATTTGATTAGAAAAGCCTTTGTTCTAGAGAGTCTCTTTTGGCTTCGATTACTCTGTAGTGAGAGCCTGAGCTTTGCAGTAGCCTAAAGTGGTTTAAAACATTTCAGCAAAGAAAATAAATGTTTTAATGTCTAGAAGGTAGTGTACTCTGGCATATGAAGACCATATTTCATGGTCACCAGTTTTGAGGTGGTGACCAGTTTGTTAGAAGAAATGGCTCGAAACCTGTTGTGAAGATCGCAAAGTAAATACTTTTTAGATTAATGCTGCTTCCTTACTAACATTATCATCTGGACATTCAGCTGACAGCAGGGATAATGCCAGAAATACACACAAATATGAAATAAATTATCATCGCATTTTAATATATTTACATTCTTGGAGATTAGGAGAAGTCACACAAATACATATCCAAGCATTGCCCGGTCACATATTCCCCACACTGTTGTACAGTTCACAGATTGCACTATCACATGTTGCTGTTGGAATAACTTCTGCAGCTGTGGACCTTTCAATCTACTAATACGTATTTCCTCTGATTACATACAACATGCCTAATTGCTGTGTATTCCATATCAACCTTTCTCGTGCTGGGGAAGGGCACTTCTGAGCACACTCTACGTGTGCCATTAGCCATGCTGTTCTTTAAATCTTCTTTAAATTCCAGGCCTGTATGCTTCATTTAGCATCTCTCATTGTTGTGAGGCCTAGGGAACCAGGACTGTGAATATGTGAAATTTGCTTTTACATAATAATACGTGTTTTAGTTCTAGTCACGCACTACGTGTGTGTATGCACGCACAAGAGTCTTACTTGTGTAAATGTGTATTTGAATACATGTGTTTTACTTGTTTAAATGCGTGCTCATACAGTCATTTCCGTAATAGGATTTGCCCAAAACATCAAAATTAATCTGCAAAGGAAGGCTCTTTCTCTAGCAATGGACCATAGCCTTCTAGCTGGAATGATAATAAGACACATTTAACGTTTTACTTCTTTTCAGTGGGGGTCATATACAGAAAGGCTGTGGTTTTCAGCCTGGGCAATGTGAATGTCTGTGTTTTTCTTTCCACTCTTACTTACTTTTTCCAAAGTTGGGTCAAGCAAATAAATAGAGCGTGTCAGATGGGATGAAGCTAATATTTGGTATCTCATCTGGAGCTGCCTGTGTGGATACTTTCTCTTCTTAGGCAGCTGTCATCATGAGATGAGCAGCCTCCAGAAGAGGGAGATCCAGCAGGTCACTTCATTACATTTCCAGTGTAAACCGGCATGTTTTACTTTCCAGGAAGAAAAAAGAGGTCTTTGTGATAGATCCTTCAAGCAATATTTACTACCACTGGTTGGCCGTAATTGCAATACCCGTGTTCTATAACTGGTGTATGCTAGTGTGCAGGTATGGATTTAAGTTAATAATAATTTTAGGTTTCAAATTTAGTGTCTCGTTATGTTTCCTATGCCAATCATCCTCTTACCTCCCTGCGGTATTTTTTGGGTGACTTACCTAGAAGATTTAGAGTTCATATACCCTTAGGGATATACGGTATACATACCACTGGGAACAGATGGCCAATGTTTCTTTTTATCTTTTTGTCTAAAACCAGTTTGTTGTAACTTGCAATGAGCGTCCTCATGAGCGCTGGCTGTGGCCTTTGTGTGCCACCTACTGGCTAGCTGCAGAGATGTGCCTTGGCCACTGCGGGCTCAGTAACCACTGCTGGAGATATAGGTCTTCTAATCACCCAGCAGAGAACAGAAGGGAGGGGTGTGGGCAGTGTTGGGTCATCTTAAATTAATATCATGCCTCTGTAGATGCTTGAAGAGCAGGAGGATTTGGCTCGAGTAGTTGTTTTCCCTTGTAAAATGTGGAAATCTGTTTGAGTCAAAGTAATAGAGTGCTGTGGAAATGGTTCACTTAGGCTGCGTCAGATGGCAGGGAGAGATGAGGATGGCTTGCCACTCAGAAACAAATCTTTTCTTTGGGAATTATCTTAGTGGAGATGTGTATCCCATGAAATCTGATCCATGTTTAATTGTGGGGCTATGTGTGTTCCTCCATAAGTGCACTTGTGTGGCATATATGTGTTTGAGTTTTGCTCCTGGCCTAAACACCTTTGAATTCTGAAAGATCCTAGTGTCTGTTTAGACACAGCTCTAGTGTGCAGATGCCTAGGCGTGGGGATAAGCTGCCCTTAATTTTTCACTGCCAGTAATGTGCATTAACATGCTGCTAGGACACATGTTGCAACTACTCGGCTTACACAGTTGGTTAATTTTTTTTTTTTTTTGTATCCTCATTTCTTTAGAGCCTGCTTTGATGAGCTACAATTTAACCATATTAAATTATGGCTGTTCTTGGATTATGCCTCTGATGTCATCTATGTTCTTGACATGTTTGTCAGATTCAGGACAGGTGAGTCTTTCTGGGGTTTTACAGTGTTTTCAGATACAGCATGGATATAAAGGCTGGAAGCAGAAATTCCCCTGTGGGGTCTGACCAGTGTAGTGTCCTGTCTACAGCAGAACCCAACAGTGGAGGCTTTGGGAAGATGAAGTGTCTGGCCAGCTTGGATCGTTTTAAGACCGGACATCCCACCACTTGCACTTCACCGGTCTCTAAATTCAGTTCTGTCAGTGCTTAGCAGGCATGCCAAATGCTGACTGAATAGCCACTGTAACAGGCTGCGTGGGGAAGGGAAAGTAAGGCACTTTGCATGTCATGATCACTCTGTGAATGACATATTGCTTGTGCTCGTTAGATTGGGCAGGAAACCAACTGTACCCCACAAGTGCTGCTTTCTTAGCCAAGTTGTGCAGCATCCTGCTCAGAAGTGATTACTGAGTTGGTCAAGTGCAAGACCTGGCACCCATCTCGGCCTCCAGTCTGCAGACTTTGGCCTGGAACCGGCAGTGCTGCCCCTCTGCCACCAGCTGTATTTCCTGCAGCCTCTTCGAGGTCCTGGCTGGGTCTCCCGCTGCCTGGTGGTGGTATAGGGTTAACCCAGGGGGGTGGTAGTATGGGATTAACCCAGGCACCTCCGCTCAGGTCCTGCCTTCCTGGAGGAAGTGTGAACCTAAAGGATCTGTGAGGACCGTGCCATGTCATGCGTGAAGTGGTTCTCTTCGGCTTCCCATCCCTGTTTCTGTAGTCCAGACAGGCTGAGAAAATTTTGTATTTGAGCGTGCCCAGCTGATACAGATTCTAGCCTTAAAGAGATATCTGTTTTAAACTAAACAAGGTCATAATATAGGCCTAAGCAATGGCATGCAGTGATCCATACCATTAAATTGCTAGAATAGTCCTTCATGTACTTTGGTGCATGCACTTTGGTCTATGCCAGCTAGCACTCTCACGAGCAGTGTCTGAGCACTGCTGGGAGGACAGCAGAGGTTGGGTGTTGTTCATGGTGTCATTTTTGGAGGGGGCTGGGAGAACTTACATGTGAATAGAAGCTGTCATGGTAGCTGATCTCAGGGCCAGAAAACGTTTTCTGGCTTGTTCTGTTTACTGGTACAGATGCAGCCCCAAAATGTCCCTTGAAAGGGTCCAATACCTCACTGATCATTATAAAAATGAGAGTGCTTTCAAATCTTCGATTTTTACATTTTCTTTTTTTTTTTTTTTAAATCATGCTGACAGCTTGACATTAATTATGGCTTGTGACAAGTTGTAAACATAATTACAAGACAGAGGCTAAAAATACTGTCACTTTGGGAAGCACACAACTCACAGCAAGCCAAATTCTTAAACTTAGCAAGTACCTTGTTCAACAGGAAAGTCTATTTCAGATAGCAGCCTAAATCACAAGACTGACCTTTTTTTTTTTTTTTTGGTGGGGGTCATCCTTCATCTTCTTCGTGTAGTTAAAAAGTCAGCTGTGCCCACTAAATTTCTCTTCTGCAGTTACATCTGTTATTGTAACGGGGAAGAACCAAGCAGAAATTGGGCATGTACAGGCAATGCAAGTTACAAAATTTCCAGGGCTGTCCTGATAATGATTGTACAGCTGTTAAAGCATGGTTAGAAGGCTGGCTTTGGAGGCCTGGATTGCAGAATTGCCACAGAGGTCTCCTGAACGCTTCAGCGCAGGTGTCTGCTGCAGCTTCCGGCACTCAGTTATGGGAGTCACATCTTCTAAGTGCTGAAATCTTTGTCAACTCCCTTAACAACCCTTCCTGGCTCTGTTAGTGCCCGCTGCCTTCTGTAAGTCTGCAAGGTCCATCTGCCCCGGGGACAAAGGTCCTGGAAGCTTTTGGGAAAGAGCGTGACCCTGCTGCAGTCTCAGGGCAGGGACTGGCTTTGAACTGGCATCTAGGTAGCCCCACAACTGCCGTGACCCATGGCAGCTTCTCTGTGGCGCACTACTGTCTAGCTGCTCGGCCTGTTTCACTGTATTTCACCTATTTAGTGACTGTGCGCTGTGAAACAGAAAAGATTCGTGTCTCTGCGCAGCTGGTCATGTTTAGCATACCCTGTGTTTTGATGCTTTCATAAAGGTTTTACTATAGGACTCCAGTTCTGTGAGGGGACAAAAAGTTGCTGAGGAGCTTTTATATCCCTTCAGTAGGAAGGTATTTTCAAAGTTATTTTTAATAATTGTGAGGATGAAATTCAGTTGCCTAGCCAACTTTTCTGATTAGGTGCATTACTCTGTTAATAAAGGCACATTTGACCAGCTCTTTCAGCAGTTTTCTGGGAGGTAACACATTCATGGCACAGGAACTACTTCCATTTGTAGCCACCATCAGTTTGCAGATACCCCTAGACAGATAGATACACACATACACGAGGCAGCTGCACAGATACGCACCCATTCCAGAACTACAGCCGTGCTGTGTGGGGCACAAAGAAATGCAGCTTGGTCTTCCTGAGAAAGCTGCTGCTTGTAGATTGCTAAGAGATTAGCAAAATGTGATAATCCCTGATGCACAGGGAATGTTTTGCTTTTCTCTCAGTGGACTTTTCCTCCTGGCTGGCCCGGCGGGCAGACAGTCGGACACCTCCACTTGCAATTGCAGCAAGTATTTTGCAGTGCCTAGGCTGTTCCCTCTGGAACATTCTCAATGCCTCGAGCTTTCGGAGGTACAAAACAGCGCTGCAGCTGTACCGCTCAGGCAGCCTTTCTATGAGAACTCTTACACAGATGCAGTTTGTTTTAAGGACTCTTACTGCAGGTTACGTCGTCTGATAATTTTTAAGATCTAATACTTTCCAAAGTCTTTTGAATGAAGAAATAGCAATGTACAAAATTCTGCTTAGTAGCTCTCTCACTAGAAACACAAAAAAAGTGCAAACCATTTTCCCCAAATGAAAAGGAAAACCCTGTCAGCTTTAACATTGGACAGAAGAGGAAAAACATGGCTCGGGGGTGGGGACAGGGGACACTGGATTTCGTTATCTCAAGGGTATCTATATTGTTCTAAAAACATTTCCAACAATCCATTATACCTACTTATTCTTGGTATTTATTTAAAAATGTTCCACTCCGATTTTATACACAATTGCTTAACACTTGCTTAACTTTAGTTATGACTCATGGCAATGATTCATGAAAAATGAGACATTCAAATCTCCCCTTTCTTTTTGCAAAGATACCTAAAAGACAAAGATACTGCTGTCCCAGAATAGAGTGGAAAACTGTGGGGAGCGCTGTGGTAATAATGGAGTCATTGCTCTACATCATTATATATTAGCTTTGAAACTTCATTGAGATATTTAAATTTGCAATTAAATATTTTTCATTAAGTGAACTCATAGTGTATCAATGTCTGTATGCATAACAGTACAAGTTTTAATGTTCTCAGGTATCTGAAATGTAAGTCACTCAGTACTGGTGATGGTAATTGTGAGCTGTGCTTTTATTCTAACAAGTAAAATATGTATTTTTATTCTTTGAAGGCTTCCTTGAACAAGGCTTGCTAGTTCAGGATGAAAAGAAATTACAAGAACATTATACCAAAACTTTCCAGTTCAAACTGGATGTGCTGTCTCTTCTGCCAACAGACCTGGCGTATTTGAAGCTTGGTTTGAACTACCCTGAACTGCGATTTAACCGCTTGCTGAGGATTTCTCGGCTTTTTGAGTTTTTTGACCGTACAGAAACCAGGACAAATTATCCAAACATGTTTCGTATTGGAAATCTTGTCTTATACATTCTTATCATCATCCACTGGAACGCATGTATATACTTTGCAATTTCGAAGGTCATCGGATTTGGAACTGACTCTTGGGTCTACCCCAACGTGTCCGTTCCAGAGTACGGGCGCCTGTCTAGAAAGTACATTTACAGTCTGTACTGGTCAACGCTCACGCTGACAACCATTGGAGAAACACCTCCCCCGGTGAAAGATGAAGAGTATCTCTTTGTGGTCATTGACTTCCTGGTGGGTGTGCTGATCTTCGCTACCATTGTCGGTAACGTGGGCTCCATGATTTCCAACATGAATGCCTCCAGGGCAGAGTTCCAGGCCAAGGTCGACTCCATTAAACAGTACATGCATTTCCGAAAAGTGACTAAGGATTTGGAAGCCAGGGTTATTAAGTGGTTTGACTACCTCTGGACCAACAAGAAAACAGTGGATGAGAAGGAAGTTCTCAAAAATCTGCCTGACAAGTTGAAGGCTGAAATTGCCATCAATGTCCATTTGGACACACTGAAGAAAGTGCGTATATTCCAGGATTGTGAAGCTGGACTTCTCATTGAGCTGGTACTGAAACTGAAACCTACGGTCTTCAGTCCTGGGGACTACATTTGCAAAAAGGGAGATATTGGGAGAGAAATGTACATTATTAAAGAGGGAAAACTGGCTGTGGTGGCGGATGATGGCATAACCCAATTCGTAGTCCTAAGCGATGGCAGCTACTTTGGTGAAATCAGCATCCTAAACATCAAAGGTAGCAAATCTGGCAACAGGAGGACAGCCAACATAAGGAGTATTGGTTATTCTGATTTGTTCTGCTTGTCTAAAGATGATTTAATGGAAGCCCTCACAGAATATCCAGAAGCCAAAAAGGCTCTGGAAGAGAAAGGGCGACAAATTCTGATGAAAGACAATTTAATAGATGAGGAAGCAGCAAAAGCAGGAGCTGACCCAAAAGACTTGGAAGAAAAACTAGAAAGACTTGAAGCCTCTCTGGATACGCTGCAGACTAGGTTTGCTAGGCTCTTGGCAGAATACACCTCATCTCAACAAAAAGTGAAGCAGAGACTTGCCAGAGTAGAAACCCGAGTGAAAAAATATGGTAGTGGCACCTTATCAGTTGGAGAAGCAGAGGCTGAAAAGTCTGAGGAGGAGAAAAAGCAGTAATGGAGAATTTATATTTACTCATTTACTGGAGAAGGTTGAAGCATGTGGAAGCCCTAAATGTATGTAAATATGTGTGTGCATACATAGACATGATTATTTTTATATGAACTCAAGAGAATGGTTTTTAGCATTTTTAACTGAAGCGGTATTTTCTTGTAAATAGAACATTGTCACCTTCTTAGGGGGAGATTTTGGTCTGGCATTTGGGTACTTTTTTGTACTGGGAGTGGGTTTCTTACAAGTCATGCTCGGAAGGTCTATTATGTATGGTACACCTAGGTCTTGAGACATTGTCTCGTCCCACGCATGTTGCGTTAAGAAGGCATTGTACTTAAAGTAGCAGAGATTGGGTTTTTTTAAGGGCTTAAAAAATATTTATAGGGTACATGCTCTACATTGCTACCTTAGTAGCCGATTAAATGTATGGACACACATCCAGGCTCCTCAAAAATTTTCGTTCTTTCACAGTGAAGCGTCTGCACAAACAGTTGGACCACAGCTGAGCAGCAGCACGTACCTGGCCTGTGCGGTGTGGCCCTGCACGTGTGTGAAATAGCCTTGCATCCGGATGCTTTAGTTTGATTCTTGCTAGTCAGCTGGGCTCTGCACAAAGGACCATGCTGACAGAGTAGCAGTGCTCATTCACGTCCTTTCTGGCATGGTCTGCGACAGCCTTTGCTGCTATGCAACTGCTTCGCTTGGGGAGAGAGTGGGAGATCCCCTTCTCCCCCCCCCCCCCCCCCCCCCCCCCGGGAAAACCCCCCCCTTGA